GCCATTTAAAATTCCAACCCCTGTGAGGGTCACAAATGGAGCGTGAAAATGACGTGGGGTGTAGCAGTCAGTGTTTCATATGTCTATGTGACTTATGGTTAATTCACATTGTTAGTTAGTAGTAATGTGCTTCAACTTATTAAACTTTGAGGTTTAGGTTATTTTAAATACACCTCTACTACAAAGGTGTATATAGAATCCACTTAGTACAATACGATTCCTATAGGGGTTTGCTTTATGAAATTCGTTAATCGACAAACTAAGTCGAGTTATTAGACCTACACATTGGAAATAAAACGATTTTTTCTAACCTAAATCGCGTATACCTATTGGTTTTTCAAACGAACCATCGTTTTTGACCCTTTACAAGTCCTATGGTCACGGTTGACTGAGATTTTAAAACCATCATCTCACATCTAACATTAACTTTTGTAACTATAGTAAAATAATAGAATGGTTTGCATTAATATTAGACGTAACTGGTTGATAATGTTTGCAAAACCAAATAAACACAATTTCGATTCGTAAAAATATTTTCATATCCAATAGCCTGACAGGGTCGCCATGTGATAAAAAGATCGCTTCTTCTTGCAGAGGTGAGGTAGGATTTTGGAGAGAACTTAAATGCGACACATGTTTACTTGTCAACGCGTCGATCTATATTGATTGGAAACCAAGGTTACAATGTATGATTTAATATTGTGTACCATATATAGAAATCTCTTAGTCTAATTCAAAAGGTAGGTATCACTATATCACACATCAATAAATTTTAGTAGCTGTAGAGTTCGTCCAAGGAAGTACTGTCACCTTACCTACTTGTGCCAAATGTGAGTATTACTGCGTTCCCGTTTTGAAGAGTAAGGGTGCTGGTGAAATTGTCAAGTTATGTCTCAGGGCGCGGTGGCATCAGATCAGATTTTTCAAGATCTTTGAAATTTTAAGATCTGGCACTGCAACCGCTATGGATAGGCGTGCTGCATACCACCGAACACACGACTTGTTCATCCAGTCATCGTCATTCGGTATTATAAAAAAAATTGGACAATGAAGCGCCTAACTATTGTGATCGACTGTCGAGTCACGCAAAGCCTGGTTCTCCAGACATAACGCCTGATTGTTTCATCAGACGAGAAGCAGATCGTGGCCGAAGTACTCTTGCCATAGTAAAGTACGTACTATTGGGCAATTGGTGGTTTTTATAAACTATCACTAAACCAACTTTCTGTTGAAATCTTTTCAGATTATCTTCTTAACCTCCGCTCTAATACGTTAAATAATTTTTTTTTTCAAGTTAGAAGTAAAAGTGTGTTCTGTTATATATTAATCTAGTATTTTTTTTGTTCTTACTTTGCAGTACCAAAACGTATGATAAAACAGTCGAATCCATTATTAGTTTTACTTTTGCTTTGCTTTTATGTCTCTGTGTAGCGGCCTTATAGGATTTATGCGTGCGACCTCGCATAAAAGTTCTTTTAACTCTGTGCCATTCATTTTTCGAACCTTCATAGCTTATTGCACCTGGCAACTAACTGAGAATACACAGTTAGTATAACCCATTATTGTGGTTTGAATTAACGTCTTATTGCGCTTCAGTGAAACCTTTGAATTAAACGTGCACGATAGCTTAAGTTATATAGGTGAAATTGTTTTAAGTTAAGATTACTAAATATTTTTATGATTCACTTATTTAATATAATTAATTTAAGCATGAGATATACTATGTTTGAATCTTTATACTCCAACCAGTTTTAAATGCGATATCTTATCATTGACGGAACTTGGCGAATAGGTATAGCCCCCAGGTGCGTATGCGCACGCAATCCAAGAGTGCTCGACACTTGCGATTATCAGCGCTATAATTGCTCACTTTACTCGACAACGATGCTTGAATACAGTCCGCCGAGTTACGCGGGTCTGAATTTATGATCACAAATTGCTTGAACGATTGTAAGGACGTTCATCCTTTTGATTATTATCTTTTTGCTTGCATCGCGGCTCGATTTTCTTGACTTTGAGTACCAGCCCCCGTAGCATGCCGCGATAGAGCCAATATATCCACATTTAGCAGTCAAATGTGAGTGATAAGCATTTTAAAATTTTATTACAATACTTTACATGGCGAGCACCACGAAGTCATATTGTTGTGCATCGCGAGCACCGCGTCCGCAACCAATGGCTGCAAAACAATATCGCAGTGCCAAACATGGCCGCAAGGTCACAGCTGATTTTAAAACATTTTGACGGTTCTGCAAAGTAATTTTATCAACATAATAATTGAGCGCGAAAAACGAAATAAAAAGAAATAGTAAAAACAATGAAATTGATATATATATATATGATATATATATAAATTATTAGAAAAAGGTGAGGAGATTTTTTTTAATATAGTTCAATACATGAGAGTGATTAGAAATACGTAAATAATAACAAATATAATTTAAAATATGCAAAAAGTGACATTACAAAACCATTTTTCAAAACAAAAACCAATTCGCAATTTCATATCGTTAACCTTGTTCTTCAAAATGTATAACAACAGTTCGTTACCAAATAAACAAAGAACGAATGACTCTGTTCATTCAGTTTCATATATCAGATTCAGTATTCGCAATAAAAAAATAAATTTTAATAATGTCAACATATTTATTTTTATCAACGGAAATAAATATGTCACGGGGAAGTTTATCAAGGGTTTATCACACATTGCATGCCATGCTATGTCCACAGATGTTTATTTATTGTGTAGAAGATGTGCGAAAACTATTCACACAGCTTTATGCTCCGTTTATATAATGTTAGTTATTTGTAGTAAAAAACCCAAATATAATTATGTAGATTTATACGTGCGTAGCATTTGAAGTAGTCTTTTTGTAATACGCAAAAAACAAAGAAAAAATATTACGATACCAGCAGCGCACGTCAAGTGCGAAATTAATTGCGAGTCGCTTGTTAAACTAACGAAGAAAAAGATAATCCTGTTTGTAGCATAAATTGACCAGTTAATGTTTATATTACATACTGTACCGTATCAGAACAGCAAGAGTCTACACTCATTGGCATTGAGAAACATATCGAAGAAACATTCTGGAATGATCGACAAGTTTGATTTGTATCTTCTAACAAGTACTTGTCAAATGTACACACGTTGCTTGCCAAGGTACTTGCCAGGCAAGCGAACATGATCAGCATATCATTCTTATAGTGTTTTGAGAAATCTTAAAAAGTTCATGAAGTACATTCTAGTTTTGTGAGTTGGATGTGAATTGTTGAATGAACAATAACAAAGCGGACATGTTACTTGTTTGTTACTATGTACTGCTGGATTAACTTTATAACTTCTTTCATTCTTAGAAACCGCTTTTTGATGACCTCCGCGGTCGAGTGGCTTAGACACCGGTTTCATGGAGTCGCCATCTCTGAGGTCCCGGGTTTGATCCGCGGCCGGATCAATGCAGAAAAACTAAATTTTGTATGTTGTCTCGGATCTGGGTGTTTGTGATTCCGTTGTTGCTTCCTATTTCCATTACACTAGTGCTTTAGTTACTTACTTTGGGATCAGAGCAACGTACGTGACGTCTTATATTTATTTGTTTACAACAAAAATAAAAATTCTAAAAGTTGCGGTGTTATGTATTGTATTTTCGAATTTGTTTTTCTATATTTTTAACTAAAGAGATCATTTTTAACGTGTAGGCTCTAAAGATTTTAATTACTTACTGCAATAAAGCTTAAAGTATTCTGAGCATTATGTTCTGTTCAGTGTAACAGACTTCCTTTAATTGCCCTTGTCATGACATCTAAACTCGAGTCAACAACCCACTAGCAAAAAAGCCACAATAACTCCTCAATGATACTATGAGACTTCTCGAACCATGACGTAACGCTTAAGTGCCATCAAAATTATGGGATTTAAAACATCTAACGATCTGCAAATGTTTATTGTAAACGTGTGCTTAGATTTTTTGACAAATTTGTATTTATTCATGTTGTACCGGTAACGATGCTATTAAATAGACATTTTCAAGAAAGTTTTTTTTAGTTAAATTGTATTTGTAAGACTATTATAATAAATTATAAAATTAGTGGTGAAATTTGTATTGACTAAAACTGTTTTCCTCTTTCATTTTTAAGTACGTGCACACTTGCTCATATTATAGCCAGGCAACCATGTTGAATTTTTCCTACTTCGTTTTCAACTGTTCTGTGCAGTAAACATGTATTATTTTTAAGTTATTATTATCGGCGAGTTGGTATTATTTCGCAAGTCATTTGTTTCAAATTGCTTTCCATTGTATATCGCTTTATGTCTCTCATTAGAGCTTTACTTAAGGAAGTGCTGTCATTCGGTTGCCAATGCAAAGAACTCTCCATATAAAGAATTGACATTACGTTCTTTATTAACATCATTATGCTTAATCCCTTTTGCATTTTCATACACCTTAACAGCTATTGAAATCTTCGGGCAAGTCATTATGGTTGATGCAAAGGTTTATGTAAGCTGTAATAAATAACAGTCATACGTTTCGCATTAGCTGGAGGAAAAAAATCAATCACTTTTAAAACAGGTCAAGAACATAAAAAATAATACAAAGAACATAGTACACGATACAGAACTACACACATAGAATATCGCAGGACAAAAAAAAACCCAAAATGGCTACCACCAAAATGTAACAAAACAAAAACACTCATCAGGCAACATGCACACAAACTAGGAACGTCAAAGGCATTTTTGTACAGCACATAAATAAAAATATTTTATATTTACATGGCTCACGAAACTAAAATTTCACCAACACCTCATACTCCTGACAACGAACCATTTAGCTTTACCATTAAATGAATTATTTTTGTAGTAACATTAACTAATTTGTATCGTTCTCTTTGCTTACAATTTTAATAGGGAGTATGTATGGTAAAACAAACAGTTCGGTCGTCACGGAGTATGAAAAAAACCATAGCCAAAGAAGCCAAACGTTCCGAGGGTGGGCGTCTACCTGGAGTGTTGCTGCCTCTCGGAAGGCGGCGGAGATGGCGCGCGAGACGATGTAGCAGTCTGCAGATGCTCACGAGGTTCGGCCGTCGCTGGGCTGCCTGCGCCGCTACCGCCGAGCGCCAGCGCCAACCCGCTGAAGCTGCCGACACACCACCACGTCACCACAGCCCTAGCGTTGTGTATACACGCCTACCTGCTCCAAATTTATTTCCAATCCACTCAACAAAAAATCAGTGTATTGAAAACTAAAATTTTGATATACCAGTGATGAATGATGGAGCAGACAAGCCAATTCAACAGATGTTACTAAGTTCGAAATGCTAACTTCTATTTTGAAATGACCCTATCTTGGGTACTTCCCGTTAGGTGAGTCATAAACAACGACATGAAGAGTAGTAATATCATTGATATCCCGCCAAGTTTCACAATAACCAGTAATTGATACAGGCTGTAGTTTTTTATTAGGATGACAAACAGCCGAACAAAGCAGATCATTCTCAGCGGGGTGAAGGTACATACATTAAGCAGTGATGTTCAGTTAGTGGCAAGGTAACTGGGTGTAAGTTGTAAGGGTACGCAAGCAAGCATTCCAGACTAAGGTTAAATATTCGCCCTTACTTACAAATCTCATTATGCAAGAAAGATGAGCCTCATACATATGTTACAACATCCATCGATATTGAGAACACACTTATCATTTGCAATGTCAGCGTTGGACAGAGTCCATCTCATGTAACCAGAATTAATTAAAACAGTTCGAGAACAAAGAGTCATCTGTACGTCAGTTTGCAGGCAACGATGATATAAATCAGTCAGGTACCGCTACGGTTAGAGTTTATAATGATAAAAGCGATTCATATGCCAATCAGAGAGTCAAGGAATATTTAACGTAAGAGGAAGCTCGAACAGTATCTAGTCACGCAGCCAGCGGTGGGCGAGAACAAGCAATTAGCAGAGTCGTTCACGTCAACGAACTAGAAATATGTCGCACGAAACGCATCTAGCATGAATGGGATAAGAGACGTCATTAGACAAAGCAGCCAAAGCGACGTCAATGCCAAGGTTGCCCTTTGTCCTCTGAAATGTCTATCATTCCTGCAACAATTTGATTATGTTTCATTAGCCACACTGTCTATTAATTCGACAACACTAGTTTTGTGGTTTAGGTTCTACGGTTAAGGTTCTAAGTTGTTCAAATATTCTGACGCATATGGCTTGAATGATTGCATGTGTTCTATATACTGTGTAAAGAGTCGCTATCACCAAATCACAAGTCGCTCTTAATGAGTCGTCTATTGTAAACAATGATAACTGTCATACAACACATCACATTGTGAGAAATCTTACAAGTGATTTTTACGCATTTTTAAAAATAATTCAGACATTTATATTAATAAGTTTTTGAGATTGTGGGAGTTGGTAACGACTATTTTGCATGTTAACGTAAACAATTAAACTTTCTATAATAGCTAGACTTTATACACAATTCTCTAGAAATTAGAAATTTTAACAAAACACCTTAAAAAAGCGATACTGGTGCTAAAAATAGTATGATGATTTAACGAATCGACGGAGAAAACTACCTCTGAGGTGGACTTTGAAATATCGAAATATTACAAAGCACAGATATGCGTAACTTACGATTTGTAAGTTATTCGCCCAAAGGTAATAGTTAAGAATTCGAAAACTGTACTTTTAATGGTACAGCGAAATGGAATTGTTCGCCTCATAGTAGTATTCCAAAGTTAGGAGAGGTCACCTTTAAATATGCAATTCCGGAACAGGATTATCATTTAAAGTATATATATGACAATAAAAATAATGTAGGTTAATTAACATCTTAGGACAGACAATGTTCATTTCCGCGATAGTTAAATTTATAAAACCAGAAAATGCAAAGGTTAAATAACACTCGTGAGGTCACACGTTTGACGGAAGTTTGAATTCCAAACAAAGGACAGTAACACCAGTTAGGAAGTTTTTGCTATTCTAGTGGAACACAAAAAAAAAAAGAAACACCGAATACGACAAGATACTTGAAAGTCCTCGTCTTTTAACTGGCAAGTTTTTACATAGGGCGAACTATAAGTTTCCGGAACTGGCCACTTACATAAACAATATTTAAAAGGTAATTACAACATTTGAAAATGGAACTATTTGACTGTAGAATACAGTTTGTTTCATCTGACTGTCACTTGTTTTTACATTGTGGCGTCATTTTAGAAATTGGTTGTCTACATCACCACAGATTTAACTCGTGAAAATTTTCGTAGTAAAATTTTCTACGATTTTAAGTATAATTAAACAGCTCAGCGGAGTTTCGCTCGGCTTCAAACTGCTGTTGGCGATGAAGCACCATGCAAGATGACTATTTATAGCTGGTTTGCAAAATTCAAACGCAGTGGTGAGAATCTCAGTGACAAATTTCGTGATGGTCGCCCGTCCACTGCTGTGAACAACAAAAACATCGATGCTGTGCGCCGTACGATCAAAACAGGCATGTGACATATCATGAGATTTGGGCATCTTTAGGCATAGGCATGAGTCAAATACAATCAATACTACACAAACGTTTGGTTGTGAAAAAGCTGTGCTCTCAGTGGATCCCACACAATTTGAGTGAGGCTCAAAAAACGGATCGCGTCACTTGGTGCAATGCCATTTTTACCAGATTCAACAAAGGGGCGTCAAATTTGGTGTGGGACAGAATTACAGGTGACAAAACATGGATAGTTACGATCCCAAAGCAAAGCAGCAATCGAGCGTATGGGTCTTTCGAGGTGAGCCGAAACCAACCAAAGTGGCGCGCGTGCAAAGTGCTTCTAAGCAGATGATTCCTTCTTTTTTTAATAAAACTGGACACGTGGCTACTATTGCTTTAGAGAATCGTTGTACCGTGAATAGTGATTGGTACACGACCATTTGATTGCCGGAAATTATTGACAAACTCCGTAAAAATAACCGTAAACGCTATATCATCTTGCACCACGATAATGCCAGTTCTTACACGGCCAGACAGACAAATGAATTTTTGAAGGTGAACAATGTTGACCTTATGAGCCATCTCGCGTACAGTTCCGACCTGGCACCTTGTAAATTTTATTTATTTCCAAAAATTAAGTTAAAGTTAACTAGGTACGCGGTCACAATTTCCATCACCTGAAGAGGCTGTCGAAGAGTATGCAAAATATGTTTCAGAGATTGTCACGGAGGAGTGGCATAAATGTTTTCAAAATTGGTTCATAAAAGTGCATTAACGCTAACGGAGAATATTTTGAGAAACAATAAATTCAATTCGAGTTCTTAGGTTTTCGCGATTGTTACACGTAGGAAATGAAACTATTTTTCCGGATTTAAATCGCGTATATTTGTTTTTTCAAACAAACCGACGTTTCGGGCCCTTTACAGGTCCCATGGTATTTTTTCTTATTCATTCCGGAAACTTATAGTGCGTCCAACGTATGTATGAAAAAAGTTTATCGAAAATGGCGAGAAACGCAGCACGCGAAACAAATGACATTCTTTCGAGAAAATCTTTTGAAATTGTGCGTTACTTTACAGGCTATGTAAATTGAAGAAATCTTTGGATGACGCAAACGAATCGTACTTGGAGCACGTATTGATAATGATACCTCTGTGGAAATCATGCGTCGTTAGCATGAAGATGAATAAACGATTTAGTAGAAAAATGTAATATACATGTTAAAGAACGTGCATACATTGACGTCAAAGCAATGACGAACAATAAGAAGTAAATGTACAAAAACAATAGAACTAAAACGTTTCCTACGGAAGAACATTTCAGACACCGAAATCTACAGGAACACAGGGAACACTGTAATACAGACGACACAATGCACAATCGAACAGCTGTTACTGGTGACCATACAAAAATTTAGGTAATTACAGGAAAAAAACCGAGAAATCTATCACACCGTAATGCGACAGTTTTTACTGCACTGATGTCGTGCAAGCATGTGACCCCGCAGAATATGTATGCTTTATAAAAAGAGTTAATGATAGACAATGCCAAGCCCGTTTTAGATTCATTTGAAGGACCTAGCCTTGTAATTACGTCGCAGAGGCCTTGAGAGTTCGCCGTAAAGCATGCTTTAAGTAACAGTTGAAAAATAGGCAGAAAGACGTAACGTCTTGGTTTTCGTTTCCAAAAAGATCTTGAACATTAATGGTATACAGTGTGTATTTATTTGCACACGGATTGCATCATTCAATTGTTAGGACACTTTATTTTAAAGTCCGCAAACAACAAGGTCAAAAATGAAGGTGTAATTAAAAGTGAATTCAGACCTGACTGACCCAATTATAAAGTGTCTAATTTCCAAGTACATTATAATGAAATGATAATAATCTGTCAGATAACTACAATAATTATCTGGTCTCAAAACTAGTGAATTCCCAGTGCTACGAGTAGGTACCAGAGTAGAAATCAATACGAGGCACAATTCAAAACACCCAGATCAGAACGATCTAAAATAGTTTCCCTAAGTTGACTTGACGGGAAACAAAATCCAGGACCTCCTCATCCAGGGCGCGCAGCGCAAGCCGTTGCGCCACCTAGGTCATCCAATACTTACGGGTTTTAGTGGATAATAAATGTATTTTATCGATGATAAATTTATAAACACCTTTCAACCATTTAAAATTGTGATTGTGTTTTTTACAGCAAATTTTGTTACTAATTTTATTGTACGTCATTCTAATTACTAATGCAATAAGTAAACTCTATCAAGATTTCAAAGAACTATGGTTTAGATTGAAATACAAAACAAAGAGTATGGTAGTAACAGTGAGTTGCACTGAAGTGCAGGCACAATAGTAATGACTCATCGATTCAAATGACAGCCTTATACCTCTGCACGCTATTCCTTTATAGACTTTAACATTTACTTTATGGCTTTGCTTACATGAAGTGCCTTGTTGAATGTTGTGTCTATCACGACACGATAAAGAACACGGTGGTCTAAGAATTTTAGAGCATTCATTCTTGCCTAATACTCTGGTAATCATAAACAACTAGTGTTGCCGAGGTCCTCCAGTTGAAAATCACGTGTCTTAACTCAAAAAGTTACGTTTTTGCATCAAAAGTTACATTTCAGTTTAAAAAAAAAAAACAAAGTG